CAGGATCCGAACCCAGGCCACCAGCATTGCAGCACGCGCACTTAACCACCAAGCCACAGGGCCGGCCCTTGTTAGAATTTTCTAGGCACTAAATATGGGAGAAAAGGCAATGAGCCTGTACTGAAAAGAGCAGTTTTGGGTTAGACAAAAAATTAAAACTTAAAAAAATTAGAGGATATTTTTTCCTCTAACTTCTTTTTTCCATTACTCTCCCTTTTTTCTGCAAATCCCTTTATACGACTTAGAAAAGCAGAACTTTGAAAGTGAACAACTTGGTAGTTCCTTGAACCAGTGGGTGGAGGTGGCAGTCATGAGAAAGCCCTTAAATAGCAGCACTGCTTCCTCTGTTCTGTCCAGGGATTGATTCTTTGAATCCCGGGGAAGTGAGTTGATTCTCCCCTCCTGTTTTTTGGGTGGAGACTGCTGTGTGTGTGTGTGTGTGTGTGTGTGTGTGTGTGTGTGTGGTTACCTTTTTAAATTTATCTTATTTTAATTTAAACATTTAAAAGCTTGGAGGTTTATCACATCAACCAATATATGCATGGAGTAACATAGACCAAGTTGTTTTCTTCTAATCTTTGTCATTTAGAGGGACTGATATTCTAATATTTTGTTAAACCCAAGATGTGCGTGTTTTGTTTGTCCAATATTACAGGTTTATTTTGTTTTTTTTCTTTTGTATAAATACTTTAAACTTTATCGCAGCAATATTGATTTCGGTTGAAACTCTTCATTGCTTCAAAACGAATGCTCTATGCAGAGTCTCCAACAAAGAGGAAGCAAAATAAGCAAACTCATTCTTGGATTATTGTCTAATTGAAAATAGCTCAAATAACAATTTTACGTCATGCCTAAATATACATCTATACTCTGACACTTTAATGAATAATACATACTTTTTGTGTTAGCTTTCTATACCTTTACTCTCTGTGTGCAGATTGACACATTCGACTTGTTTTGTATTGTCATACTCATGAGTAATAACTCAGTTATTCTTTGAGTATTACTGACCCTTAATATTCACTTTATGTAAATGTATACATTTGGCTTATATTTTAAAAGTTTGCAAAATACTCGCATTAACCTTTTCACATGATAAATTTAATCAATATTAACCAAGTTGGTTAAATTAACAATGAAAACTTTTATTAGATAATTGTTTATTTATATCCATCATATTGTTATCAATCATAATAGTACTCTCTATTAAAGCAATTTTACATTTCATGGACAAAATACTAGGAGTAAATAGGAATATATTAAATTTAGTTTCTACACTCAAAAGTTGGATAGAATAATTGAAAACATCTTAGTACTAGTATTTTAGCCAGAATCTTGACATTATTGACATTAAATCTTTAAAATAAGAATGAAGTCAGTGTTGACCCAAGGCTGCCACATTCATTTCTACTGATTATGCTCTATAAAAATGGCCTCCCTCGTGGGCAGAGGGGGCTCTGCGCCCACAAAGCTCTGAGCCCCAGCAGGGGCTGTGCCTGCCCCAGAGAACAGTGGTCCTTATTCTCATTTGTAGAGCAGCTTCTGCTTTTCAAGCCATGTGCCCACAAGATAGCTCAGAGAGGGAATCCTTTTCCAATTGACACAATTGAGATATATGGGACAGTGGCCCTGTTATTGAGAAGGTTTTCATGGATGAGTTGGGTTTCAAGAAAGGACACTTTAAATGGTAAAGATTTATTATGTGGATCACAGGAGGGAGAGTTTTGCATACAGGAAAGGGTTGCAGTGTTTAGCATGGGAGGAGGTACAAGGTCTGAGATGAATATGACATGTGCAGTAGTTAGTGAAGAGACTAGATTGATTGGAACAAAATGTGCATGTCTTTGATGAGTAGAGGATTAGAAGGGAAAGGGTAGCAAAGGTCAGATTATAAGGATCCTGAGTGCAGGGTAAGGAATTCGGGTTTTATCCTGCAGATGAGAAATCATTCTAGGCATTTGTCCAAATTCATCATATGATCAGTGATAACTTATTTTAGGTAGATTAACCCAGGGTTATGCAGCATAGAGTAAAAGGAATACGGAAAGATTGAGGCAAGGAGACAAAGCTAGAAGCTGCTAAATATAGTACATGGTTTTAGTATCTAGCCCAGAATCCAAGTAATAAGGATGAAAAGGAAGAGCTGATACAATAGGTTTTTTTATTATAACAAATGCTATTATTTTTACCTGATCTCCAAAAGAAATCCGTATTTATTATAGATGGTGTCGAAAATATAGATATGTAGAATGTATAATATTATATATTACATATATAATAATATATATGGAATGTATATTCTCATTTAAACCATAGATGAAGACTCTTGACATTCAGGCACTTTTGATTTTTTCTTTTGTTTCAATTTATGTATGTTGACATAATGGTATATTGAGCTGTATTTATACAGCTTGGTTTTTTGTGTCATTTACTACGTAATAGGCATTTCTTTTGTTAATTTTGTAAACTCCTAGAGGACCTCATTTTCTTTTTTTTTTTTTTTTTTTAAAGATTTTATTTATTTTATTTTTTCCCCCCAAAGCCCCAGTAGATAGTTGTATGTCACAGCTGCACATCCTTCTAGTTGCTGTATGTGGGACTCGGCCCCAGGATGGACGGAGAAGCGGCGCCTCAATGCGCACCCGGGATCCGAACCCGGGCCACCAGCATTGCAGCGCGCGCACTTAACCACCAAGCCACAGGGCCGGCCCGAGGACCTCATTTTCAATGGCTGTACACTATTTCAGTTAATGAGTACAATGTAATTAACTGTTCCTCTATTGTAAATTTAGATTTTTCCCAAATTTTTGTTGTAAATACCGCTAATGAATATCAATCAACATAAATGTTTTATTCCATACTCTTTCTCTCCCCTCCTCTGCAAAAAAAATAAAAAATAAAAATAAATAATGAAAAACTAAAAGTTAGCATTTGTTCATGTATTTATTTTGCCTATTTTGATTTCAGATCCACCACTCCCTACCCTTAGTCCACTTTAAAAATTGGGGGGAGGGATGTTCTTATTGCACTTTTATTGAAATTATTGTCTCATTTAGTTGCTTGCCATTTAAAATGATGTATTTTAATCCATTGCTCTATACGTGGGCATTTAGGTTGTTTTCAGTTTTTCTCTATTTCAGACAACACTGATGAGTATCATTGAAGATATTTTTATGTGCACAAAAAAAAATAAAAAGATATAAACTTCAAAAGTGAATTACAGGATATGGAACATATAAATCTTCAACTCTAGCATCCTGTGTACATCAGTTACATCAATTAAAGTGATTGTACCAGTTTACATTCCTGCAGGCAGAGCAGAGAAATTCCAATTTATCCACATCCTTGGCAGTCCTTTCTTTTAAATGCTTGCCAATCTCATGTATGTGAAATAGTATCTCTTTTTTGTATGCGAGATAATATCTCACTTTGTTTTGCGTTTATCTGATAGCTAATGAATTTTAGCATGTTTTTATATGCCTATTGGCCATTCAAGCTTCTTATCTGGAATTTGCCCATTTTCCATTGTGTCGTTTGTCTTTTTTTGTTGACTCTGGATACCTGACCAAAGTTATATAGTTTGCCAGGGTGTTCTCCCAGTGCCTGTCTTTTAATCCTGTTAATTAACAAAAATTGTAGGCGAATTTATCAAAGGTATCTTTTATGGTTTGGTTGCTTCTCTCTTGATTAACAAGTTCTTCTCCAGTGTCAAAGGTTTTTCACTTATATTTTGTTCTAATTCTTTGTGGGTTTATTATTTTACCTTAAATTTTTAATTTGTCTGACAGCCATTTGCATAACTACCAGGTGATTTTCCAGATTGAGGAAAACAAAAGAAAAATTTGGTAAACTGTGTTATAATTTCCATTTTAAGTCCATAATTGAACCATGGAAACATTTTGTTTTTTCATTTAAGCAACAGATATCCACATTCACCATAGTTTGTGGTAATGAAAGTTAATGTCTTTCGCATTGACTGCCCAGAAAATCTATCAGAGTTCATCTACATGAAGTCTTTGCAAAGTAATTACTTCTAACTTGGGTTGAATACAGTTTCACTTCCCATGTGTTTTCAGCCTTGGTCTACCTAGCTTCGTGCCTAAGTCCAGAAGGAATACATTGTCATTTTTAAAACAGTTAACATAGGATTCGTTTTACTTTCAGCAATTCACAGAAGCTGTGAGTCCTTCAGTGTTACCCCCTTCAGCTTTGCCACTGGACCTGCTTAATAACGCGGTCACTGCCTTTAGTACCTTGGAAGATCTTATTCGGTATCTTGAACCAGATAGATGGCAGTTGGACTTAGAAGATCTGTATAGGCCAACTTGGCAACTTCTTGGCAAGGCTTTTGTTTTTGGAAGAAAATCCAGAGGTAAGCTCTCTCTTCAGATTAGAACCTCATTTAATTTCTTAGCAGCTAGTGTTTCAGATTCTTCTGCCATATCTTCTAATGAGTCAAGTTTAAAATTCTTCAGTGATATATTAAATAATCCATTTACATAACATTTGAGCATATTTACGTATTAAATAAGAATACATACAAAAGGAGGCACTTAATTATAACTCATTGGGTCTGGAAGATTAAAAGAGAGACTTTTGCTGAAAATTCATATCATTTCTTTAATTTAAAAATATCATTCTGATGAAGTCCACTATTACATTTCACAGGAATCATAGCTTATTCAAACCTAATATTTGGGGTATATTGATTTAGAGATTCAAGAGAGATTATTATAGCTCCTAATCCAGAGTTGGGGCTAGAAAAGGGGGAAGCTCTATCAAAATCATTATCTACCTTGTCCCCATGGGTCGGGATTATATCAATTTTCATTTCTTAAGCCTAGAAACTTTTCTAAATAATATGGAAATAATGACTCACCATAAAATAGAACTAGTAGTTTTCAAGATAGGATTCATAGCAAGAAAGTAATGACCTAAAGGAACCCAAAACATGATAATTTTTCTCTATATAAATTTGCTTCTGAAATAATCACTTTTGACAGGGAGCATATCTCCCTTCAAGAGTGAGAGTGTTGATAATTAAACTTAATTCCACGTGGTTAAGAAATTGGAAACAATGTTAACTGAGTTTGCTCCAAGGTTAGCTAATTTTCCTAGTAACATTCGAATTGAAAAGCATCCATATCAGACACATGAAAATGTAATAGAAATAACTGGATAATTATAATGCACTCAAAAAATCTGCTTCAGTCTGTCAGAAACGTTGAAATCTACCCAGGGTCACTTTAGAGAATGGAATGACAGTGTGGAGAATTTATATAGAAGAAACAATGTTTAGTTAATTTGAGCAATTCACAAGGGCAGATTGCACCAGACTCGTTCTTCTAAATCTTGTCAGAAAGAAACCCGATTCTTGCCCTTTCCTGCTAAGAGTTGCAGCCCTGTAGCCCGTTTGGATCAGAAGCTTTAATCTCAGCAGGTCATGTTCAGACTTCCCCAACCACGGTATTTTGCTCTGCCAACAGTCGTGGTTTCCTTTCAGCAATATTTGAAATCAGTGTTCAAATACATGGGTAGTGGAATCTTGTCCAGATGCTGAAAGCTGTTACATATTTATAAGATTTGATCTTGATGAATAACTTGATGAATAACTTATGAACAACACTTCCCTTCCCTCCCATTTAGGAACAGGAAGATGAAGATCTGCAAGGCTAGCTGAAATACCCATGAATAAAGCCTTTGTTAGCAAATTTGAAGTAGATTATCATGTTGATCTGTAAGAAACAGGGGGAGTAAACCAGGTTCTAAACTCAGATCTTGTTTTTTGGCGGCTGATCTCAGGATTCCAGCCTAAAAATCTCCCTTCTAGCCATGCTTTTATGCCTGTACCTCTCCACATGGTGCTCAATGAAGATTTGGCCAGCGGCTGGCATGTATTTAAAAGCATCCAGCACTGAACCAGATCTTTCAAATATTCATTTAGCACTTTCCAAATTGAAGCCCTTTGCAGTTAGCCAAAACTATTAACTTTTTAAGCATACAGTAAGTGTGAGAAAAGCAGTGTATATTTTTAGAACTTTACATAAACTAAAATGCAGGTGTGGGATAACATCTATATAGACAAAAGCAGCTCCCCTCCCAAGAGTCTTTCTACAAAGGAACGAGGAGTAAAACATTTAAAAGCTTCTAGTTAGACATCGAAATAGATTTTCCACAGAATAAACATATCACAGTGTTACCACATTCATCTTAGAAAGACCACCCTCAGATTGCGTTATAGTAATGGAATAACCTTGGGCTGAATATCTTAAAAGAATGAACAATTAACAAAGTAAAATGTTACCAGAATTTTTTTTGGTTAGTGTTATCCTTTTTAGTAAAACTTGCAATATTGATGAATCTGAACAAAAAAATTTGTATTAGAAATAACAACTTTCATTGGTAACATGCTCAAAATCATCCTTCAGCAAGATAAATTAATGCATGTATTGTATCAGAAAGTAGTTATGAAAAGGAAATAAAGAATCTGAAGGCTGAATTTTACTTTACAAATATTTTGCAGAGGGAAGCTTCCATAATATTATAGTTAAGTTATAAAAAAATGTGTTGGGACATAATCTTTCATCTCTCTCTCTTTTTTTTGCCTAGAAGTTGCGCACAATGTTTGGACAATTTATGACACGAAGTTATAGTTACATGACTTATTTTAATGAAGCTTAGATGAGGTTGAAGCCTTAGAAGTAGGAATTGTAAATTTCAAATAATGTATACCAAATTTAAAATCCTTAATTGTATTTTTAGTCTAGTGTGGACTGCATTAATGTTTTTCTGTTTTTTTATTTTTCCTTTCTTCTCCTGGTTCAAGTTTTTCGTTCATACCTTACTACTGCAGAAAAAATACCATATTTTGCAAGTCAGTCTTAACTAGTACTTAAAAAGGGCTTTTGACTTTTGTGTCAAACATGATAAATGAGTGGAAGCTAAGTTGAAAGTGTGTTTAAATTTTCACATTGTAGCAGGTATCATAACTTAGTTCACTTGGGAAATCTATCTAACCTTTTATTGTGGTTAACTAAACATTTTAAAGAGAACATATACAGTCTCATTTTCTTGTTTCATGAAATAGTGTGTTTAAAACTATTTGAGGTAGATGAATATCCTTTGAAAGCTAAGAGCTTCATTCACATTCTAAAGAAGTATAAATCTTAAATAAGCGTTGAAAATTTTGGCAACCAGCTTGTGTATGTGTGTGCATGTTTTAGGTTTTCTCCTTCTCTGCCCAGATATGTAACATCTAGAGAAAATATTCAGATGAGTTCATATATAGCTTTAACAAGGAAAGAGCAATATGTACATATACTATTAGTTCAGCAAAATTAAATCAGGTAAAATATATGACATCATTTAACCTAATTATCTCATTAATTTTACTAGAGATAAATTGGTCTTTTATTGCACTCAAAAGAATGAACTCATTTTCCCTTAAATATTTAAAAGCTTTCCTTTCACAAGATTATTTTTCAGATGAAAAGGAGCTCTTTAAATGCTCAAATAAAACAGTGATTTTCTATTGAGTTGGAAGAAATAATTTTTACCAGAATCAGATGTTGAAATAAACCTATTGAATTAGCATTTCCTTGGTGTATCTCTGTACTTGACCAAGGTTTTAGTCAACCATATACTTTACATGTGCTTATAATTTACAATTGCATATACATAATTTATCATATATTTCTTGAAAATACTTACTTTGACTCCCTTTGACATTTTAGAAAAACTTGATCACATATACAAGAAAAACATAGCCAAGAAAATAAGCATTTCATTCTTAATTACCTTGTCATTTTAAAACTGTTAAAAAATATTGGCACTTATTTTTTTAAAACTAGATTACATAGTGATTAATATTATTTGAATCCATCTTTAACCAGAATATATTTTTTCTTTTCTTTTAATTCTTGTTTATAATGTTTCTAATATTAGTGAAAAGATATTTAACCAGATTTATTATATTTTAGATAATATTTCTAAATTTTAATAAAACCTTTACTTTTGAAGAAAAAAAGCTCTGATGAATTATATGTTATTCAGCATACTTAACTACTGTTCGTATGGTATATATAAATGAATATTAAACATGATATGTTATTTTGATATAATTTAACGGAGGCAATATCATTTTGTAGTTAAAAACAATGGTTCTTTGAGAATTCACTTGCAACAATCTGATGAAAGGATATTTTGTTTGGTCTTCACAAGTAGGTATTCTTTTAAAAAATAAAGCACAACATAGTTAACCAACTTGCTAAAAGAATAGAGACAATAGTTATAAATTAGACATTTCTTCTAACCTATAGAAGGAGAAGAATAGAAATCTTAAGGAGTCTAGTTAAACTAAATTTTAAAGACCATAAATTACTCAATGCACCAAAAGCAGTGCTTTCCAACAACTTCTGCTCTTTTAAAATGTATCATTTTTTTCACTCTTGGTCCCCTCAGCTGTCTTCAAAAAGTCGTTTTCTTCATTCTCTTTTTACATTTTATAATTCTTATTGCCAGGAAGATTGTAGAACATTCTGTCAACAAGTTTCTGTAAATTGTTCTTCATTAATTGCATGAGCTTGCAATCCTTTTAAAACTTGCATTTGTTTTTTAGTCAAAGCATTCTTCGTCTCACATTCTATTCTTCCCTCCAATGCTCTCCTTGTTTACTTTTTTCCTAAGGTTAAAAGGTGTAGCCCTCGTCTTCTCTCTAAAGTTTCCTGTTTATAGCTCTCAACTGTTTTGTTGGCTCTGTTCTTCTTATTGCACAATGGCATCTCTTTATTGGTCACTAAGTCATAATGAAGCTTTGTTTACTACAAAATACAAAGTCCAACTTGCAAGCTGCATAGCCTTAAAACCTAGTCAAAATAAGAAGGGATATTGTGAGGGTTATTCTTCATGTAATTGCTAGATTTCTTTATGAGAAGAGTTTAATGAAATACATCCAGGCTCAAAGCATGAACATCTCTTTTCCTTTGCTTTCTTTTGTGCCATGTAGTGGTGGATCTGAACCTTCTAAAAGAGGAGGTAAGATTATACAGCTGCACACCTCGTAACTTCTCGGTGTCCATAAGGGAAGAACTAAAGAGAACCGATACCATTTTCTGGCCAGGTTGTCTCCTGGTGAAACGCTGTGGTGGGAACTGTGCCTGTTGTCTCCACAACTGCAATGAGTGTCAGTGTGTCCCCAGCAAAGTTACTAAAAAATATCACGAGGTAGGTATATCATTTTCGTTTTGGGTTCCTTTCGGGTTCTTTTTTAGGTGTTTTGTGTTGAAAAAAATAATAAAACAATGTACCTGAAATGGATTTTTGTTTGGAAAGGAGATGTAGCATTCATGGGGAAAAAAAGGTTCTTGAAATAGTTCATTTTTTAAAATTAGGACATTTAATGCAAAAACTCAGGCATTAAGGATTTGGAAAGCTTATCCTCTGATGGTACTGTCCTCTGATAGTACATCATGGGTGGTCACTGAAGTTTTTATCTCTCATACAAAAAAGAAAATGTGTTCTTCTATGGGGAAAAAAAATAAGTGAAACTTTTCAACTTTTCGGATTATGAAGGGAAAATATTTTAAAGACAAACTTGGAGGTAAATTGTTGTCTATTTTGGAGAAAGGAGACCTTTATATTTATTTTTTCATTTGGGGCAATTTGGGTACATAAATCCCAAGACATATTCATAATTATACCAATCTTCCTATTCATAATGCCCCAAATAACATGTTAAACTTTTTTATGGATTCTTCATCCTTTTATCTCTATGCTATGGAATTAAGGAAAATATAATATTAAATGTTAGTAATTATTGTCTTTCAGAGCCTTGGGAACCTTAGAATTTATACACTTGAAATTTTCATTAGTTCTGGAATATTCCTAATTATATCCCATCTTCTCTCCAACAGCTGCATGTAGTATTCATACTTCAGGAAGCAATCCCTTCTTGAGGAGTCAACTTTAATTTTTATACCACGTTTACATTATACCAAGCCAAAAACTGCCCTCTGACTTCATTTCAATATGATCTCATTTCATTATTTTTTATTTTTTCCACTAAATTAAAGAATAATGTGGAATAAATATCTGCTTAATAAATAAAATGTTTTCCTGTTCATGAAGACATCAGTGAAACCCTTGTCTGTTAGGTAATCTAAGCATGCACAGTGTCATAAATTGCATTTCTGGTTGGTTGTCCTCTCCTTCACCAGTATTGTATTGACAGCTGATAAAGTGGGGAAAAAGACACTGGATTCCAGAAGACAAGGGATTCTGTTTACATCCTAGATCTACCATCAGCAGGATACTTAACCTCTGTACAATATGATAATCTCTCAGGTTTTTCCTGGCTGTGGTATTCCATGACAGTTACTAGATTGCAATGTTTAGAAGGTAACATCCAAAACTGGCAGTCTGTGATTAAAAATAGGACTATTTACTGCCATTACTTGTGTTCTACTTTCATTTCTACACCACATGCTTCTGAAGATCCTCCTGCTGGGAACAGTCTCCACTCCAGTTTCAGGAAGTAGATAATCATGAGCTTGGCGGCTCAAGGAGCCCCAGCCAGGCTGTGCCCAGCAGCCAGCCTTATTGCTACTCCGTCAGCAGGGAATCTAGTCAAGGAAAAACCCTCAATATAGTAGTTCTAAAACAGATTAAAATTAAAATGCCTAATATCGGGCCAGCCAGGTGGCACAGTGGTTAAGTGCGGGCACTCCACTGCAGCGGCCTGGGGTTCGTAGGTTCGGATCCCTGGTGCACACCGATGCACCCCTTGACAAGCCATGCTGTGGCGGCATCCCTTATAAAGTGGAGGAAGATGGGCACAGATGTTAGCCCAGGGCCAATCTTCCTCAGCAAAAACAGAGGAGGATTGACATCGGATGTTAGCTCAGGGCTGATCTTCCTCACAAAAAAAAAAAAATGCCTAATATCTAGGCAGATATTAGAGTTGATTGGCATAATATAAAAGGATATCATGAGAATAGGAATGAAACTAGGGTGATCTTTTCCCACCTAAAATCATTCAATTTTGAACTTTCTAAAGCAGGTCCTAACTAAACAAAGTGTATTTGGGGACCTGATTTAGCTAACAAGTCTTGAGTTTATAACCACCCTTCTAAGAGCTATAAAATCCAGAGTAGTTTTATTAGCTTTTTTAAACAAGCTTATCAGATGCTGAATCAATATCATACTTTTGGTCAGCTAAATCTGTCCTCAGGTCAAGCATATCCTCCTCCATCCTGTACTTGTAACTTTCTTTTCAAATAACATTAGATTTAGGGTTATCCGGAAAGTTGCCACAGAGTATGCAATATCTGTTTTAAAGTCTCAGATAAAACTCTTGTGTAGGGAAAGGCCAGGGGCAGTACTTACAGATTCACTGGCCTTCTTCCAGCATGACATTAATCCATTATTCTCCAGTCTTTGGGTGAGGTTGATAATATATACATTATTTATTTATATATATATATTCACACACACATACAACTATGGATGTTTATCTAATTATATGACCATCTAGTGCAAGTTTCCCACAAATATCTGTAAAGTATGGGTGTGTAGAAATGTAACTGTATGGTCACCTACTCCACATTTCTCACAAATATCTCCATAATAGTCATGTCTTAATTTTTTAAATTGTTTTATGAGAATCATTAATTTTTCTGTGATAGTCTTTTTATTAACAATCAAATTACCCTATACAAAAGGATTATTTGTTTGGTGTAATTCATAATTCCTGAAGCCTAAATTTTTCTCAGTCCTATATTTTGGAAAAAAGTTCTGAGTCTAGTACTACTTCTAAATAAATGAAACTATTTTTTTAAAATAGTTCTAAAATCATTGCCGTTGAATACCATTAATCTGGATCTAGATACTTAACTCATTTAAAGTGAAGCCCATCTTGGGCTTTGATTCTTTTCGATGACCATTGTTCCAGTATTCAGTTTGAAGATTATTCCACCTCATGGAGAAGGCAGAAACAAAGATAGAACTTAGAAATTCTAAATTTTCTTTCCATCTATATCAATTATACCAGCTTCCCTAAATGTTAAGCTGAATTATATTCATCGTGTCACTACAAATAAAACTGAATTATTCCCTCGTTTGCTTTTGTGTGTGTGTGTGTGTGTGTGTGTGTGTGTGTGTGTGAGGAAGATCAGCCCTGAGCTAACATCTGTCGCCAATCCTCCTCTTTTTGCTGAGGAAGACTGGCCCTGGGCTAACATCTCTGCCCATCTTCCTCCACTTTGTATGGGACGCCGCCACAGCATGGCTTGACAAGCAGTGCGTCAGTGTGCGCCCGGGGTCCAAACCCCCGGGCCGCCGCAGCAGAGCGTCTGCACTTAACCACTACACCACCGGGCCTGACCCTTTCGGATTTTTTTTAGCATTTTCATTGAGTTTGGTCAACCTTTGTGGGGGGGGGGGTGCTTTTATTTGGTGAGTGCCTCTTGACGTAAGCACTGCTAGAGGAAGGAAGAATTGTAGGATTGTAGACTGGCATGACTGACTGTTAGGACTACATATGGTGGCCTCTGTAACCTTTACCTTTTATAGTAATTTTTGTCCCTTACCAACTGGGAAAATGTGTACAAGTGGAGATAAGAATTAAAGACATTGGCTATGCCAGTATTGCAGTTTATCTATCCACCCAACCTCATTCCAGAAACTATTTGTAACAAAGTGTCTTGAGTAGTTAGTTTTGATGCCACCTTAAGTTGTTCAAAAACAGTAAGTCAGTACTGACACATAAGATAATATTCAATCGTCATTGGGTTAAGTTTCACATTATAATTACATAGTCTTAGTAATTTTTATTCTACATTGTGAAATGTAACAGAAAATCTACTTTAAAAGTTTACTATTTTTCATAGTTATGACAAAACTTGGCAGTTTATGTCTCTAGGAAGAAAGTTACTAAATAAATAGAATGTATGACTAGTAATGTTCTGAGTCTCTGTAAAATTATTATCTATCGCTCTAACTTTAAGAATTCATATTTGGCCAAAGTACATATACTGACTCTGTCACTTATTCTTTCTAAGCTTCTATTCACTCATGTGTAAAATAAGGGTAACAACTGTAAATTACTTCATAGAATTCTTGTAAGTTAAAGTATATAAAAACATTATTATAGTGCTTGGCACCCAGTAAGCATTCAAAAAATATTAGCTGATTAACCTTTGATATGACCACATCCTCTAAGTGAGGTACACATTCTCTATTTTTCTTTTTTAAATCTTCAAATAGAGCAGTCATAAGACTTGACTTGTGCCTTTTTGGATTAATGAAAATTTCCAGGAATGATATCTTTTAGAAGTTGCTCTGTGAAGTTATCTGCGTCATACCCAGAGAGAAGAGAAACTAGACGACTTCACATTATGTGCTCTGGCCTTTGTTCATAATACAAACAAATATAATTTCTGAAACTTTATCATTTCTATTATAAGAAATAAAATGGGGGCCGGCCCCGTGGTGTAGCAGTTAAGTGCACGCACTCCGCTGCTGGTGGCCCGGGGTTCGGATCCCGGGCGTGAACCGATGCACTGCTTGTCAAGCCATGCTGTGCTGGCGTTCCACATAAAGTGGAGGAAGATGGGCACGGATGTTAGCCCAGGGCCAGTCTTCCTCAGCAAAAAAAAAAGGAGGATTGGCATGGATGTTAGCTCAGGACTGATCTTCCTCACCAATGTGTAATACACATTGAATAGGTAGTTCTTATCAAATGCTTCAGATAATCTTTAATAGAATACATAGCTATGTCCTTTTGTCACAGTGTTAAAAGGAAATATGTGTAGTATTTAGTAGTATCAGTGTCTGTTTTGCTACGTTTTTATTAAAAATCTCAACAATTCAAGCTGCAAATGGCTTCATTTAATGGAGACAGTGTTGTTATTATTCCCAAACCTCCGTATACTGCACAGTAGGATCCAGCTGCAGAAAGTTAGCTGTGACGGAGGCTGATGTCTATGAAGTACATCTAATCCATCTCATCAAGTTTATAGAGGACTTGAAGTGTGGCCAAGAAAATTGATGAGTGGCATAATGGAGCAGACTCAGCTGTGGAGTGGTCATGCTTCTTTTCACAGTATTGCAGTCCTTGTGTGCATTTTGCTTCAAGTATAAATATTGTTAAGTGTGTGAATAAATGAATGAGTGAAAGGAAGCAACAGACGGAAAAACAAATTGTGCAGTAGTGGTTCCAAAGTACTTAATCAAGGTGTAATTCTCTCATATCATTAGAGGAGCAAAATAAAGAGTAGATAGTGAGTCTGTCAATTTAAGGACTTTTATTTATTCTGAGGCAGCATCTTTCCAAGTTGTTAGCAGTAAAATGTCCTTTCTTTCATGAAATGATGATCATTTATGATTTTCTTGAGGGATGGGGGAATGTGTGCATACTGCCTTCACTAGGAAGAAATTACAATTTACAAATCTTTGTTGGGCCCAAGACTCTTTTCTGAAATTTTACTTGTCCATGAAATCGAAAGTTACAGACATTGGCTGATATTAAAAGTGGCTTACATTGTTCCCTTTCAGGTCCTTCAGTTGAGACCAAAGAATGGTGTCAGGGGATTGCATAAATCTCTCACCGACGTGGCCCTGGAGCACCATGAGGAGTGTGACTGTGTGTGCAGAGGGAACTCTGGAGGATAACTGCTTCACCACGCGCAGCCCTCTCCCAGAGCAGTACAGCTCAGTGGCTGATCCTGTTGTAGAACTTACGCATTATCTTCATCCATAATCTCAGTTGTTTGCTTCAGGGACCTTTCATCTTCAGGATTTACAGTGTGTTCTAAGAGGAGACACCAAACGTAATTAGGAGTTGTGCAACAGCTCTTTTGAGAGGAGGCCCACATGACGGGAGAAAAAGGTCTTCGGTGGAAAAAAATGAAATGCTGTAGGTCACTAGCCAGTTACAGAGTTACCATGTGCTTCCTCAGCTAGCTGTGTTCTGTGTCTCAGTTGTCTTGATATGACTTAGGTTAATGTCAGTACAGGAAAAACTGTGCAAATGAGCACCTGATTCTGTTGCCTTGCTTAACTCTCAAGCTCCATGTTCTGGGCCTAAAATCACAGAAATCTGGAATTTTTTCCTTATACTCACATATATAAACCAGAGTGTTCTATGTTCTACAAACTTGGTTTTTAAAAAGGAACTATGTTGCTATGAATTAAACTTGTGTCATGCTGGTAGGAAAGACTGGATTTTCCATATTTCTTATTAAAATTTCTACCATTTAGAAGAAAAGAACTACATTCATGGTTTGGAAGAGACAAACCTGAAAAGAAGAGTGGCCTTATCTTCACTTTATCTATAAGTTGGTTTATTTGTTTTATTGTGTACATTTTTATATTCTCCTTTTGACATTATAACTGTTTGCTTTTCTAATCTTGTTAAATATATCTATTTTTACCAAAGGTATTTAATATTCTTTTTTATGACAACCTAGATCAACTATTTTTAGCTTGGTAAATTTTTCTAAACAGAATTGTTATAGCCAGAGGAACAAAGATGATATAAAATATTGTTGCTCTGACAAAAATACATGTATTTCATTCTCGTATGGTGCTAGAGTTTAGATTAATCTGCATTTTAAAACATTGAAGTGGGAAATCAATAGAATTTGGTAAGTTGCAAAGACTTTTGGAAAATAAATGATCATATTTTCCACTCCTGTTATTGGAGGTGCAAATAAAAAGCAACGTATGAAAGTAGGCGTTCAGATCTAGTCATTACTAACCCCTAACCCTTATTTTGGGAAATGTGAGCCTAGCTCAGAAGAACATAAAGCACCTTGAAAAAGAGACTTGACAGCTTCCTGACAAAGCGTACTCTGCTGTCCTGTAGGAACACATCCTATTTATTGTGATGTTCTGGTTTTATTACCTTTAAACTCTGTTCCATACACTTGTATAAATTCATGGATATTTTTATGTACAGAAGTTATATCCTTTAACCAATTCACTTATTGTACTCTTTGGCAATTGAAAAGAAAATCAGTAAAATACTTTGCTTGTAAAATGCTTAATATTGTGCCTAGGATATCTGGTGACTATTTGGATTAAAAATGTATTGAATCACCAAATAAAAGAACGCGGCTATTTTGGGGAGAAACTGAGTGTGTGTGTGCAAGAGTTGTCTTTTGAACTCCAAGAAAATGAAAGCGATACAGTTTTGTGTTACCATGATTTTCATGATTCAAAAGCCAATGGCGTTCGAAAGACAGGTAGAAATGTAGCATTTCTGTTGAGGCCTCTTGTCTCCAGTGCTTTGGGGCAGTCGTTGTCTTTTTCCCACTGGTCTCGATACTGACTTCTGGTAAATTAAATTGCAAATGACTTGGAAGTTACGATTTATGAAATGCTTAATGATAGCTTATATGGTAGCATGAAACTACGGGGAAAAAAACTAACTTTCCACTCATATCTTCACTTCCAATGGCAAATGCTAAATGGAGTGAGCATAAATTGATTTGGTGTATGGACTAACATATTTTACATAACACACTTCAAGGTGTGGATCCTCGATTTCAGACGTAGATTTCTTTTCAGGGCTGGTATCTTTAGCACTCTAATCCCTACCTTTCAACTTGCCAGTGATATCTAAGGCCCAGGGCCATGCTGTCTTCAGACTCCTGTTCTAGGTGATACCCCTTTTCAGTACTTTTCCTGGCAGTCCTACCGTGCACCCAACCACATGAGAAACAAATAAATAAAATGAACATGTATGTTACTGACTTACCTTTTCATCGTTTTGTCCCTACCCTGTAGAGGCCTACTAGACATAGCTTAACTGTCCTCCACTGAAAATGCTATGCAGTGTCTTCCTCTTAGCAATTTACAACTCTCATTAGCATAGTAAAGACTCTACTAAATCTTACAGTAAATAACCTGTGTAACTGTGTTTAATCCAGCATTTCCAACCCTTGAATGGAATGCCTTCTTTCCCTTTTATTTTTTTAATATTTATTTTTCATTTACTTATAAAATGTTGAAAGCCAAAAGAAATTACACTCTAAAGGCAGCTATCCCACACGCGGTTGCCAGTCCTTGCGTGGGAAGGGTGTGAGGCCTACCTGCTTTATACCTTCCCACTCATACATCTTGCAGTGCACTTTACTAAAAAGAATCAACCCATTAATGGCACATGTGACCATAATTTCTCAGAATTCCAGAAAGCATTGACTGTATTGACCACAAACTGTTTTGTATGTGTTATCTGTGATGCGTGCCTTTGTCCCAAGAGATGGACGGTTTGGCTGTGATTTTTATTAAAATAAAAGCACAAGACTTAATTGGCATGAGGCAGGCTTTCATGTCTGCATTTTTCATTTCTACATCTCTTTTCTACATTCCCTCCCTCAACTCATAATTCTTATATACACCTTGAAAAGGTACAAGGTAACATCCTGGCGTGATTTAGTTCTCCTCAGGGCATCACTCATCCAGGTACATTTACTTATGCTTGTGATTGGGTTTCAGGTAAGGCAGGAACTACGAATCTTACTTAGTATCGATTAATATAATACACTTGATATTATGTAATACCCTTATCACCAAAAGGATCCTCATATGTTAATCCATTTTAATTACATATTCTAAATGCATTTTAAAATTATAAATATCACTATCCTTTACATTTATACGAAGGACTAGGAAAATTGAAAGTGTAATAGATCACTTGCTTTACATCCTGTTCTCCCTTCACGCTTCCTATGTAATCAGTCAGCACATCCCATTAACTTTGCCTTTTCCCTCTCTTGTATTTGTGTCTACCTCTCCATTTCTGTAGCTGCTACTCTAATTTAGACCCCCATGTGTCACTACTGTTATGCAACACTCTCCTTTGTCTAGTCTTCCTGCCTCTAGTCCCACTCCTCTCTGATCCATCTTCCACACCACTAGCTGAAGGGTCCTTGGAACAAATCTGATTATGTCACTTAGGTGGAAATTTTGCAATGGAACTCTACAAGATTAAATTTTTACTCTTTGCATGGCATGAAAAATCCTTTATAATCTCATTGTTTCTGCTCATTTTTCACCATCAAGCCTAACATACAGCTCTGGTAAATACTTATGGTTTCCTGAAAACACCAATATTTTTTCACATCTCTGTGCTGACACATGCTGTGTTCTCTTTGGAGCACTGTGCCTACACTTACCTATCTCAGTAATAGCCTTTCAAGTCTCAGCTCAGTTCAGTGAAGCTCTTCTTCCTTAATTCCCATCAGCATCCTTAGGGACCGTTTCTCCTATGCTCCCAGGAATATCTCAATTATAAATGTTGTCGTATTGTTTTATAATTACCTGCCCTCATTTTGATTTCTCATTAGACTCCTAGTCTAATAAACAAAAGAATAAATGACCTTTTAAAAAAAATATAGCACTGAATATGACAGCAGGAACCCTCGAGTTCCTGAATATCTCTGAAGTTCAGCTACCTAATCAGAAAAATGAGAGAGTTGGTAGATGAGAGCTGCTTACTTTTTAGTTCTAATCAGTCCGGTCCACTGATAATGTTGAGGCACCTACCAACATGACTACAACGTGCAGCAAAAATTTCTGTTCTTTGTGATGTAAAATAGTACAATTATTTTCCTCTTTAACAATGTTTTGAAACTGTATGTTGAATTTTCCAGTTAATGAGTTTCCTACCAATCCTATCTCAGATATCATTTCTTTGCAAAGTTAAGGAGATTTACTAATTCATTTATGTATTATTCATATTTTGGATACTTATTCTGTAGTATGATTAAATTTTTTGAGTCAGAATTTAAAAATCTTTAAAATGGGAATATGTAGACATATCAGTAATTGATGATTCATAATCTCCTCATCATTTACCTCTTTTGACTTATTTTGCCTCATCAAACTTAATGTACAGTTCTAGTGAATTCTCATAGTTTCCTGAAAACCACTGTTCCTGCACATCCCTGTGCTAGCACATGCTGTTTTCTCTTCATGGAGAACTGTTCCTGCACTTATCTATTTCAATGATTTTCCTCTTGTCTCAATTGTTAATTATATCCTTTTGTACTCTGCCTCAGAAAGCATTTGCATAATCCAATTTATTTCATAACTGCTAAGCCATTATAGCAAATCTATAAATCTATATAAAAGGGGAAGAGATTTAGTATTTTGGTAGCAAGTATATCTTTTGAGATTAATAGCTTTATCATTTTTTTAAATTATATATGCAATCTTAGCTGGCTTGGTTTTTTTATGGAAATTGGAAAGCTGGTCCTAAAATTCATATGGAAATGCAAGGAACCCAAAATAGCCGAAAAAACCTTGACAAAGAACTACAAAGTTGGAGGATTCACACTTCCCAATTTCAAAACTTACTACAAAACTATAAAAATAGTGTGGTAAGTTTAATAAGTTTAGACATACAGAGCAATGGAATAGAATTGAGAATCCAGAAATAAACCCTCCCATTTATGGTCCATATGACTTTGACAAGAGTGCCAAGACAATTCAATGGTGAGAGAGTATTCTTTTCAACAAATGGTGCTAGGATAACTGCATATTCACATCCAAAAGAATCATTTTGGACCCTTACCTGACCCCATATACAAAAATTAACTCAAAATGAATTAAAGATGTAAATGTAAGAGATAAAAATAAGTAACTCTTAGAAAGACATAGAAAATTCTGATGACCTTACATTAGACAATCATATCTCAGGTATGACACCAAAAGCACAAGCAACAAAAGAAAAAATAGATAAACTGGACATTATCAAAATTAAAAACTTTTGTGTTTCAAAGGACAGCATAAAGAAAATGAAAGATAACCCACATAATGAGAGAAAACATATGCAAGTCATATATCTGATTAGGGTCTTGTATCTAGAATATATAAAGAACTCTTACAACTCAACGATAAAAAGATAACTCAATTGAAAATGAGCAAAGGGCTTGAATAACACATTTCTCAAAAAAAGATATACAAATGGCCAATAAGCACATAAAAAGATAGCCAACATCATTAGTTATTAGGGAAATGCAAATTAAAATCACAAGATACCAGTTTACACCCACTAAAATGGCTAGAATCAAAAAGACAGACAATAATAAGTGTTGATGAGGATGTGGAGAAATTGGAACCCTTATACGTTACTGGTGAGATTGTAAAATGTTGTGGCCACTTTGGAAAACAGTTATGCAGTTCTTCAAAATGTTAAACATGGAATTAACATATGCATCAGTAATTCCACTCCTAGGTATATACTCAAGAGAATTGAAAACCTTGCACACAACAGTTCATAGTAGCATTTTTCATAATAGTCAAGAAATAGAAACCACCCAAATGTTCATCAACTGATGAATGGATGAAGAAAATGTGGGATATCCATACAACGGAATGTTATTCAGGCATAAAAATGAATGAAGTACTGATACACCCTACAGCATGGATGAACCCTGAAAACATTATGCTGGTTGGAGAAGCCATTCACAAAAGGCCATAAAATGTAGAATTCCATTTATATGAAATGTTCAGGATAGACAAATCCATAGAGAAAGAAAGTAGTTTAGTGTTTGCCAGGGTCTGGGAGAAGTGGATAAATAGGCAGTGACTGCTAATGGGTGCGGGTTTTCTTTTTGGAGTGATGAAAATATTCTGAAATTAGATAGTGGAGATAGTTGTGTGAATATACTAAAAACCAATGAATTATTCACTTCAAAAGGGTGAATTTTTTGGTTTTTTAAATAACTCGATAAAGTCATTTTTTAAAAAATAGGTGCATATACTGCAGAATTTAAGAAATAAAGCCCTTCCCTCCAAAAAAATCAAGAAATAAAATTTTTTTAAAAATCATCTAAAACTCTTATTACCATAGTGTACATCATTTCTATCTGCTCTCTATGCAATAGGTACATAGATAAATGAATGGGTGGTATGATGGAACGATCAGTCTCAGTTCTGTCTCCTGTAGTAGTATTCAACATCTACACCTTTGCCATGGCTTAATCGTGGCTGGAGTATATTTTCCCATTTGAATTTGGTCCTTAGTATATGTCTTGCTCTAACCAAGAGGATCAAGTGCCTGTGACAGGTGCTAAGGCTTCAAATGTGCTTGCACAGATGGGTTTGCTCTGTGACTCCTGCCATCACC